CATTAGGGACTTTAAGCAAACCACGACGGCTACGGCAACGAGAACGTGGAAAAACAATAGATCTAATTGGCAGAACAATAGCCCAGCACGTGCGTTTTCAAACTTTGTACATTTCTTAGCCGTCCTTTGCAAAACAACAACGTGAAATCACCAAAATTTGCGTCGTCTGTGAAGCTAAACCGCGGCGGCAAGTTATTTTAATTTACATTTGGAACTCTACGCTACTTTTATGCGTTATGTTGAGTTTGAGGTCTGGCGCCCTATGAGACGGTAAACACATCCAGCCATTTTCGAAATTGTAACTAAAAGTAGAAACTCGTTTTTTAATCGACGTCTTCCGTGGCGTTGCCGCCTGACTGCTTAAAGTCCCTAATAACTGTTAATTATTGTTTTTTGTTAAAAGTAACATTATTTTTATTTATATCATATAGAAAAATTCAACTTTACTGATTGCCCTACTGATTTGCTTTGTATAAAAACGCTTTTTGGTATACTAATGCACAGTTACTTGTACTGGAAAGAACAGTATTAAAATTTTTACGTACAGAACTTATCCTTGTAGCTCCTGGTTTCACAGATTTGAAGCAACGACTATTTAACTTAATGCATGCCAGGATGGATACCAGTCTTTCCCAAGTAAAACCTCCCGAATATCTAGGCACTTTCTGTTAATTTTTTTTGTTTTTTCTTTTCTGTTATTTTAATAGCTTTTTCAAAATGCGGGTCCCAAATGAGTGTAAATTATTTGGTAAACGCTATCCGAATGCAGTTCTTTATAGTTCTGGTCTTTCTCACAAATCAAGTCGAGTTACAAGCGGCTCAATGTATCGCAGAGAAGTCGTGTTAGACAATCAGTTTAACTGTTCAGATTATCACCAAAAGAAAAGTTTAGTTTGCACCCCTGTTCGTTTCATTGTATGTTCATTGTTCCGTGCTGCAAACCTTTTAGAGTTTGTTACGGAGGGTTGTGTCACCTTTGAGAATGAATCCCCAAAGAGTTCCAGAGAAGACTTGGAAATGATCACCTGAATACAGTTATATCCAGAAGGTCAGTCTGGTCTAAAACGAAATGCGAGGATTGGGAGAGCTTCGTTAGTCCTGCAGTACATGATTGAATTCAAAGTCAATTATATCTAGTCAGCTGAACTACAGAACGTTTGATCCATTTTGTTCATTTAGTAGCTAATGTTGAATACTTGGAAGCTGCTTAAAACTGAAAAAAAAAATATGCTTTACCTTCTCAGCCTTAACTTAATTTTCGCTGCGTCAGTTATCACATCAGTAGTTGTCGCCTACACGCAGTCTTGTCTGAAGATCAATCCAGGCCCGTTGCATTTGGGGTTTTTGAGGCCACAACTTTTCTCTCAAGTTATTATTTTTTTTTTCAGAAATATCAATTTGATAAAAACAACGCGTTCAACTGCTGCGAATCAGTTGATCCTGATTTCTTGGAAAAACGAACTTGTCAAGTGATTGAACACGATGGGACTCACAGGGGTGGTGTTTTTTTCCGTCTTTTGCGTCATAAAGGCGATGTTTCGACTGTGCATAAATTAAATCGTTCTATATTCATAAGAGAAAGTCCTATCGTATCGTCATCCGGAGCTTTGTAATGTTTTAGTTACCTTGGCAGGGATAAATTCGGGATTAGTCTTTGTAAACAGAAGACCCCCCTCCCCCCACTTATAAACTTTAAAGTTTTCCGAGAATTCATATCCAAAGTAGTTTTATGTCAAATTGATGAATCTTTGGTTTGTTGAAAGAAGTAAACAAAAATTACGCTTTTCCGTTTAGGAAGAAGATAATATAATGCAAGGTTTGCTTGCGAGAAGGAGTTTGCTATTGATAATTTACTCATTTATTTTACATAAATCTTTAGAGTTTGGTAAACTGTTGTCACTTTGGTTATGGTTTATGGTTTATACAATACCTTAATAGCAGCATGAGCTGAACTGCTAAGGTTTACAATATATTTTGAGGTTGAGATCGGACCTCAGGTTATGTTATTTTCGTTCTCGTAGCCTGATGTTATTTAGTCTCCCCGCAGCCGTGATGTTTTGCTCACGCAACGCTCCCTCGCAGTCTGTGAGGGAGCGTTGCGTGACCGAAACATCACGGCTGCGGGGAGACTAGATGTTATTTAGTTTTTGGTTAGTTATCCCTATCCATTTAGGTAGTGTTAGTACCCATCATTTATTATTTCTAGATAATTGGAGCGTATATTATGGTAACTCTGTGAGGTTCAGAGTATTTCATTTTATTGTCGCTACCGCTCTGATGTTTTCGTCATTTGCACTGTTTTGTTTTGCAAATAATGTATCTCCAACTTTTTTTCTTTCAATTTAGATCTAAGCCAAAGAAATGAAGCAAGTTTATAGAGAGAGTGAGTTTCCTCTTTGTTCAGTCGTATCCCACTGTAACTTAAAATGAAGTCAGATCTTTGTTCAGTAAAATTTCTCCAAAGTTAAAGGTCAATTTCTGGGAAAAAACATGATTGTTAACGTAATTTCTTCAGTATCAATGATTTGCTTACTTTACAAGTTACTGAGGTGCATCCATACGATCAATTTTAATTTTAACTATATCTTTTTTTAGATTTATATCTAGCAAATGAGTTTAAAGTAATGAGTTTTTTAAAGTAACGCGGAATATAGCGTTTTCCAAGAATTGAATTAATACCAGAGAAGTGATTACCATTTAAGGCAAATGGAAATGAAGGTAAACATATTGAGACGCATTCGGTATTCATGCTGCATATATATACATATGTAGCATTCAAGAATTGAAAATCTACATTTGATGATTATAGTCTGAACAAGGAATTCTGCATTACATCATTTCTTAGATAAGCAGTAGGTGATGTACACAAACAGTTCATATATTATGTAAGCCATTGCTAGTCATTCTAGCGAACAGAGAAGATACTTTAGAGCTGAAGATACACCCTAGTACCATTTCAAACGACGAGAGATTTAGCCGCCGCTGCAACAGCTTCTTTTGCACGAGAAAATACATTTTTGTACCTTTTATGGCTCTTTATTGGCTACTACCTCAACTTCTCAGTTCAACCTGTTGAATTAAACATGAAATATCAAATAAAAGTCTTTTAACATGCTCGTACAGTGACTGTTGAAAATTCTTGTTATTTCAAGTTTCATTTCGTTTCGAAAGAGTCTCCAGTGAGCTATCTTGTATGTTAAGTTCAGAGTCACTTGAATTTATTTGAACATATTCGTACCTTAGTCTGCTTTATAAAATGTTGCAGTTCTCGTTGAAACGTTGCTAAATGGCCGCGAGGCTTTGATAAACCTGTTGAGCACTCGGTCGATTATGCGGGTCGTAATCTAAAGCCTGTCGAACTAACATTTGAAAAGGGCCGAAAGCGTGAGGAGAACTAACAAACGTAATGTTTATGAAAGGGCTTACGGTTGCCAAAGCAAATCCAAGGCCAATTGTTCCCATGTGGGTATTGACAAAGGTACCGTAGTATGCTTTCCCACCAATTTTGATACAATTGCGCTCGAGGATTGCGTAAAGAAGCACTCCAAGGGAAAAGACGTCAGCCTTTTCACTGTAACAGTGAGTGCTGAATACTTCCGGAGCCATGTTGTATTTTGTTCCAACCTCTGAGTGCATGTAGTATTGCACGTAGGTATTTTGACCATAAACTTGGATTTGTGAGAGTGCGATGTATTCGCGAGCTAAATCAAAATCCCCCAATTTGACATCCTCTGTCGAGGTCAAGAGCACTTTATCTGGCTTCAAATCGCGGTG